AAGAAGCCGGGGGGGGCCTGTCCTTCTCCTCCGCCGCCTGCTTCTTTTCCTCCCTTTTCCTTCGCTTCCTCCTCCCTCTTTTTTCTCCTCCTCTCCTTCCGCTCGTCGTGCCGGGCCTCCTCCTCTCCCCACCTTCCTCCTCCCACTCCCGCTTCCCTGCTCACACTTTCCTCTTTCTGGGATGGAAGTTCTGTCCGGGAGGAACCAGGCACGGGTCCCCCGATGCCACCTTCCTTAACAGGTACATAGGTAACCTATTCTCAAGTTACCTGGACGCACTGGCATTTCTGGAGTTTACTTGGCGTTTTATCAGTCTCTACTGGTTTAACCTTTCACCCGACTAAAATGTCACTCTAGTTTATGCTACTAAAATGCCCAAGCCCTAATCCTCACTCTGTACAGAGTAGTAAAAGGGAGCGGGTTTGAATAACTCTGATCTTGAGGGCCTCTTACCTACCCTTCGGTCTTTGACCTGCACTTCACCTGCGTATTGTATAGATTTGTATGACAGTCATTATCACCCGGTAAGACGCCTGAGGACTAGTTCTGGTTTGTGATCTCATTATTCATTGGCTATCAGATCTGTGATGCCCATGATCAGGCTCTCTTTATTTTACATGTCCAGAACCTTAATTTAGAAATCATTTTGCATCCTAAACTAATTGCTGAGATACTGGCAGGTGTAGAGTTCAGCCAGCACGTTTGTAAATTACCAAGTGAAACTGCTTGTGAAAGAGGAGCTGGAATGATCTACATGCAAAGGGCGCACATGGGGCTGGACCGCCTGAGCGCCTGCTGAATATTTATTAGGTCTGCCTGGAAGATTCTAAACCTCCGGACAGAAGCAACCATCTCTCAGCAAGCGGTTCACTGTCCCACTCTGTCCAGGCTGGCCTCAGACTCGAGGCAATCCTCCTGTCACAGCTCCTGAGTGCTGGGATGACAGTCACCAGCCATCGCACCAGCTACCTTATCGTTGAGCTTCACTAAGTTCACAAAACAGCTTCATGAGCTAAATCGGTCAAGAAAGAATACAAACATTAATACTGCCGCACTAGCCAGTGATCCCAAGAGGATCAGGAATTAAGATCCCAAGAAAAATTCTTGGGGAAGACAATTGTCTAGGATACTAGCTTAAAGCATATCCCATAAACCACGAAAGACTATTATTTTTGAGATTACCTAATTGTGACTCTCGATGAAAAGATAGTTTTTACATTTAAACAAGTGTAGGCTACTGATTGGCCATCAGTAGAACAGGCCAGTGGCTGACCCATTTACAATCTGATGAGTCAGTGTCTTAGGGTTACTGTTGCTGTGATGAAACACCATGACTAAAGGCAGCCTGGAGGGGAAAGGGTTTATTTGGCTTACATCTCACAGTTCATTGACAGAAACTAAGACAGGAACACAAACCAGGAGAGAGCATGGAAGCGGGAGCTGATGCAGAGGCCACAGAAGATTGCTGCTTACTGGCTTGCTCACCATGGCTTGCTCAACCAGGACCACCATCCTGAGTGGCATCACCCACAATGGGTTGGGCCCTCCCCCTTTTGTCACTAATTAAGAAAATGTCCCACAGGCTTGCCTACAGACCAATCTGAAGGAGGCATTTTCTCAATTGACATCAGCTTGTGTCAAGTTGGTGAGCCTAGCCTGCACAGCCAGTGTTTGTTGGTGCTGAGTGATATTTTATCTGGGTAGAAATTTCAACACATCCAAGCCAAGGAAGCAAGGAGGGGAGAAGTCGGAGAAAAATGAAGAACAAAGCGCACTAGGAAACTAGATCAAATTCTATGGAAAACAATATGAGCTTCTCAAGCCAGCAATGTTTACTCCTTGATAATTGTAGAGGGAATGGGGCACAGTGGGATGAAACCACAACCCCTCACAGAGCCATGCTTATCTAAGACAGGGGTCTTCCTCAAATGTTTACTAAAGGCAAGCTTTTCTCTATTTCCCTGAGGCATTGAGGTGGAGAGAAATGGAGGGTGGGGTTGGGATGTATCTTGATAGCCTAACAGGGAATACAAATAAGAACCAGACAGGCTGGGTGGCAGCCTGACATCTGTGTAGAGAGGAGGGGAGTGAGTGCTTTTAACTGTGAGTAAATAAGATGGAGACAATGTTTCTTTCCTTTCAAGTTGTGGCTTTGCCTGCTTGCCTCTGTCCTGTGGGTATGAAGAGAAATGGCTAACTGGAAGCCCATTGATTGACAGCTGGGCTGAGTGTGATTACATTAACTGCCTTCCTTTGAGCTCAATTGGCCCAGAGAGGGCAGTGCACCTGGAGTGGAGAATTGTCAGTGACTAAACAATATAGCTGTTCTTCTAGCATGGGATTGGTCAACTTGCACTCATGCTAGCCACCTGAGAAGACCCCCATGGTGTGGCTGAATAGAGAAGATTAAAGGAGAGAACTCTTGGGGAGGCAGTACTCAGCCATTGCTGGTAATTATGTTTCAGGGAGACTATACAAGAAACGAACTGAAAATGATAGTTGGAACATAGACCTTGTTAGAATCCCTGTCTCTCCTGGCTTTGAGGGGTAGAGTCAATACTCCTTGGAGAGAGGTGTCATCTACCTTGGTACTAAGGTCAAAGTCAGGGTCTTGAACTGATGGTTTCAAACTAGAGTGGTTGGCTTAACATCAGTGGTCTTGACTTGCCTTACAAAACTTATTCTATGAAACCACCAGGTCTGCTTTCAGCTGGGCCTGATGGTAGGAACTTCTTAAGTATTGAAAAAGCCTGTCACTGAGATTTATAGTAGCCAAGATGAATTAATCACCTAGGCTTTTTCAACATCCCATAGAAAGCTTGGGGAAAGACAAGACAGCAGACTAGAATGTATATTCAGGCAGATAGTTAGATTTATGTGACTAGAAGGTCTTGAAATAAATAAGCCAGGGTCTAAATGAGAAGCAGAATGTAAGGGTCAGAGGTCATTGTTGGGCAAGCTTAGAGAGCTGGTGAGTCAAAAGTCCCAGTCAGAGATGAGTACCACATCTTCCAGATACAGAAGAATGAGAAGCAGCTAAAATCCAGGTCACATACTCCTCAACAAGCATGGACCTTTGTCTTCAAAGAAGCAGTGTCATTTTTTTTTAACTCACAGAAAGATATCATGGAGGTTATTGGAAGTCCCAGTGAACATCCTACTTGATTCCAGTTGGTGGCGTGTGACCCGAAAGGTCCTGTGGGTCTGGCCTTTTAAGCAAGCCTTCACCCAAGACCTTTCTCAGTCTCCTCTATCTCACAGTATTACTATCTATCACCCTGTGGCCCAAGTTGGAAGCTAAAGAACCTTCCCATTCATCCCTCCATTCTGTCCCCTCATCCAATCTAAGAGGTATCCTCCGGGGTCTCCACATCCCAGAGAGATCTCAAGTTTGTTTGTGAGCCCCACTCTAGTATATGTCCCATTCTTATCTCTTTCCTGGACCACTCCAGAAACACTGAATTCTGTCCTTGTACCTTTTAAGTTTAAACTTCACAAGTTGTTATCCTTTGTCAAGTGCCTCTGCTAATGTGTATGTGTGTATATGTGACTATGTGTGTGGTATGTGTGCACAATCATGTTCAGAGTCATATGTACATGGATGGAAGCCAAAGGAAAGGTTAGGCATCCTGCTCTATCATTCTCCGCCTTATTTTCAAGGGACAGGGTCTCTCACTGAACCCAGAGGGGCTGGCAGTCATCAAGGCCCACGAATCATTCAACCCACACACCGCTGTATTTACAGACCCACCTGGCCATCAGGTGCTGGCATTTGAACTCAGGTCCTCGTGCTCAGACAGTAAGCACTCTTAGCTACTGAGCCATCTCCCCACCTCCCAAATGCACCCTTTAAAATCTACTTTATGATTTGAATAAGTGTAAAGATGTCCTCTATTTATATAGGAAGAAATAGAAATGCTGATTTCCCTTAAATTAAGCCATAAATAACTTGGCCAAATAAAAGTACGGTTTTCTGGAGGAAGTCGCAATGGTTTAAATGAGGTTTGTCCCTGAAGAGTTCATGACTGGAAGCTTGTCTGAGTGTGGCGATGCTAGGAGGCAGAGGGACTTTTAAAAGGTGGGGCGTAGTGGAAGGTAGAGATTAAGTCATGGGTCCCCCCTGGAGAAGGATTGGCTGGCAGAGGTCTTGGATGACATAGGTACTAGTCTGAGCAAACTATTATAAACTGAGGCCCCAACATGTGGGTGGCCCCTCTACACATAACTGTTTCTTTTAGTGTTTTTCTGCCATCTGTGACACAGACAAGCAGGCTTTTTACCAGTTGAAGCCATCCAACCATTGACCAGGACTGTTAGCCTTGAATATTAAGCCAAATAAACTATCTTTCTTCATATAGTATTTGGCCTCAGGTATTTTGTTGGAGCTACATATAATAGAGTAAGAAAATATACAAGATAACTCAAAAGTCCAAATAAAGAAACAAGTGAGAAGACATATCCTATCAGATGTCATTTAAAAAAAAAAAAAAAAGCTATGTAGAAAAACAGAGTGAATGTCTTGGCCAGAAAGTTTCTCAAACAAAATTTCAAGGAGCTGGAGAGATGACTCAGTTAGTAGGGTACCTGCTTTGCAAGGATGAGGACCTGAGTTTAATCCCCAGAATCCACATTCAAAATGCTGGGCATGGTAGCATGTGCTTTTGTAATCCAGGCACTAGGGACATGGAAACAGGGGGATCCCTGGAGTTTACTGGCCAGTCAGCCTAGGCTAAGTAGTGAATCTAAGGCCAATGAGAGACCCTGTGTCAAAAAAACACTTTGTGATGGATGACACCTGAAAACCAACACTGAGCTTGACCTCTGACCTCCAGACACTTAGGCTTGCCCAATTTCAAGTATGCTCACATACACAAAGAAATAGAAGATCTCCAATTCATCTCATAGTAAGATAAATGAAAATTAAAACCATAGTGAAATTGTACTGTGACTTAGGATTTGGGTATAGCTTAAAAAATGTGAGGAACACGCTGTTTCAGTAAAAGATATGTGATAAGGAACTGTGCCAGCTATCGTTGGTAAGCCATAAAATTGTTGCAAACATTGTCTTAGTTTATGTTTTCTGTTGCTGTGATGAAATACTCTGTCCAAAGCAACTTCAGGGAGAAAGTGTTCACTCTGGCTGACATTTCGAGGACATTATCCACTGTGGTAAGGAAATCAAGGCAATGGGGCTTGGAGCAGCTGGACGCATCCCACCCAAGCTCAGGAAACAGAGAATGA